GGATGAGAACCGAAATTGTGCAGTGGTGGCGCAGTGGCAGCAGGAGACCCCATTAGCTAAAGTGGTGCTTCAGGTTAAGAATAGTTTCAGGTTAAGAATGGACCTCCGGAACGAATTAAGTTCTTAACCCAAGGTACCGCTGTACAGTAATTAACAGCACAATCCAATGGCCCTTGCACTGATGTAAATCCCAACACAGTGAAATTTGCAGTGAAGCAAGGGCCACTAGAGCATCCTGAGAATTGTCTATGTGTTCGTTTTTCATTTAATGTATTTAAACTATTTATATCTTTCCTTTTCATCCAGTAAACTTTCAAGGTCACTAACAATAATGAATAGAGAACAATAAATTAAAAACAATGTTACAATAGTGCTTTGAAGGACTCTTGAGTGTTCTTATAAAAAAGGAAGTTTTTCACATAATAATTGTACTGTAACATCCCTGAGAGAACTGAATATCTTTCAGCCTCAACCTTGGCATAGTCTCGGCTGACCTCATCACAGAGGTCAAAGGTTTCACTGTACCCACTTCCAAGCTCAGTAAATCTGCAAAGTTGTTCACAGCAAGCATCTAAACACGTTTATAACTGATCAAAAAGGCTTCATGCTGGTCTACACAAAGGGTACCAAATATACATGAGTTGGATAGAGAGAGAAAAAGAGCTGGCACAATAATCTCTCAGTGCCTATGAGGCTTTTGAAATAATGGATTCATTGGTATTGACATGCTTGCTAACCAAATTGAAATTTGGATCTAAGTTGTTGTACCTCATTAAGCAACCATACTCAAAATCAAAGGGAATTTTTTTTCAATCAATGGCTTTTGCACTCAGGCTGCCAATTTCTTAAGGGGTTATCATTTCAATCAATGGCTTCAACACTACCCTGTCATTAATAATGTTGTCTCCCATGGGATTAAGCTTAAAGTTCTCCTGATCAGGTAGTAATGACCATTTGATAAATGACATGACAGCCTTGATGTATTATGCTCTGAAAGGTGCCAGCGTCTGATGTCCAAGAAGAAAACAACAGATCCTTGTAGCAATCTTGTTTAGCAATCTGCAACAGGGTGTGACAGATCACCATGACCCCGCTATAATCAAGAAGATTAGAGTCACACTGTTGCACAAAGGTATAATTAAGAAAAATGAAGACATCTTGAACCTCTTTATGAGCAGTAGTAGTAGATGGGAGAGGGCTTCAAAGTTAAGCACCTTGCTTTTACCGGATAATCAGTGAGTTAATGTGTGTAGGTGAGGAGAACAGATTGAGGCAGAAGGACACACCTCAGTTTACAGGCATTCCATTGAATGTCTGCACAGCATCTACAAAGCCCTCTTTTTCCTTGGTCCCTGTTTGCATGAAAAGAAAATCACACCTGTGCATCCATCCTATAGTCTGAATAGGCATAGGTTCACATACATATTTATTTAAGGTAACGGTACCCCTGCCCGTACGGGCCAGTCGTGACCGACTCTGGGGTTGCATGCTCATCTCGCTTAAGAGGCCGGGAGCCAGCGCTGTCCGAAGACACTTCCGGGTCACGTGGCCAGCGTGACGAAGCTGCTCTGGCGAGCCAGCACCAGCGCAGCGCACGGAAACGGCGTTTACCTTCCCGCTATAAAGCGGTACCTATTTATCTACTTGCACTTAGGGGTGCTTTCGAACTGCTAGGTGGGCAGGAGCTGGGACCGAACGACGGGAGCTCACCCCGCCGCGGGGATTCGAACCGCCGACCATACGATCGGAAAGTCCTAGGCACTGAGGTTTTACATATTTATTTACTACTTGTATTTCCTGAGAATAGGCATAAGTGTTCAAACTGTACCTAAAGAGATATTCAGTTTATAGGATCTTTTCCATGCATATTTTAACAGAGACATTTGTCTATCTTTAGAAATGTATACATTGTAGTTAAATTAGTATTAGTTCCCAAAAATGTCCAGTGCAGACAGTATAAATTACCCCCCAAATTGCATGTGCCTAATGATGTGAAAGTCCGGGGGTGGGGAGGTGGAATGAGGGGGATCTGTTTTTTCCTGAAACCTTTGGGAGGAAAATGTTGAACAGTAGCTGTCTTGTGCTCAATGGAAGAGTTGGGCCAGATGCAATTCAATGTCATCTTTTAGAGGACATGAATGTATGATTTGGAGTGATCCTAAGCTTATTTTGGGAGGTACACTCCTAGTTCCTTATCCTTTTCTAAATATTTTGGCTATTATTAGCACAGTATACCTGAAGGAGCGTATATTATTGGTATACCTGAAGGAGCTACTCCACCCCCTTTGTTCTGCCTGGACACTGAGGTCTAGTGCTGAGGGCCTTCTGGCGGTTCCCTCACTGCGAGAAGCCAAGTTACAGGGAACCAGGCAGAGGGCCTTCTCGGTAGTGGCACCCGCCCTGTGGAATGCCCTCCCACCAGATGTCAAAGAGAAAAACAACTACCAGACTTTTAGAAGACATCTGAAGGGAGCCCTGTTTAGGGAAGCTTTTAATGTTTGACAGACTATTGTATTTTAATATTCTGTTGAAAGCTGCCCAGAGTGGCTGGGCAAACCCAGCCAGATGGGCAGGGTATAAATAATAAATTATTATTATATTGTTATTATTATGGGCACACATCCTCAACAGTCTGCTACTCACAAGTAAAGCATTGGGCTGGACACAATGCAACCAAATCTTTTCGTGGACAGTCTTCTGGATTTGTAGGTGTATAATCTGGGGTGGCTTAAAAGCTTATTGTAGACGTGACTGCCCCAGTTCTTTCACTGTTGTCATTGCTTGGGATTATGTAATTATGAACATTACAGAGGCCAACCAGATGTGGGAAACCCTTGAGCAAGTCCTGAGTTCAATCGTGTACTCACCTCCTGTGGTTCCAAGCAACTGGCATTCAGAAGAATTGCTGCATCTGACTGTGAGGGCAGAACATAGCCATTGTGGCTAGCAGCAATTGCTAGCTTTATTCACCATAATGGATGTTAAGGGTCAGGGACATGTAACCTTTGGCTATTTTAGAAGCTTTCTTATTGAACTATATTTTGAACTTCCATGCAAATAGGGAACTGGGAATTAGTCACCAACTTCAGCATTATGCAACAATCACCATCTGTATGCATGATGTCATAAATGAGACCTTGTACTTAAAAGCAGATTAGTTTGTTCATATATTTGTTCCCTCCCAGCAAAATAGATATTATCCTTTTATCATTTGTGAGTATGACAGTGCAGATAATTAAGGCATAACTAATCCCTTTTCAAGGATCCTAGATTATTTACTTATTGGAAATTTTATTAACCTGTCTTTGATTCATTTGATATCTTTCCCATGGAGGAAGAAATCTATATGAAAGTTAAGATAAAAATGTTTAAGCCACTGATCTTTAACTTTCTCTCCTGCTATTCCTCTATTAACTTCTGTTCTCAAGACCATATTTTAGCCAATGAAATAAGAATTAATATTGATTTTCAGGCAGAGTCCTGAAGCATGTGAAGTATTTTTTTAAAAAATGCCTCTGAATGGCTTGTGGTTTTTGTGTGTGTGTGAATTTATGGTGTGAGTGGGGAGGGAGGAGTTGTGTTTCTGCAGTATGGGGTGTTGGGATTTTGTGTATAATAGGGAAATTTGATTATTAAGGTCAGTGCTTTTTTAAAAGAAAAATAGGTTCTGGTACTCACCATGAAGTTGTTACAGTAAGTGCCACACTTTTTAACAAAAAGAAAAAAGGAGGTACTTGTACTCTGTACCCTTGAGTACCTCCTGAAAAAGCACTGATTAGGGTGATCTTCTTGCTAATATGAGTTCAAATGAATGGGTTTGAGTTTGGGGATTCACATCCCCGCCCTTTGCCTTGCACTCTAGTAACTTGCCTTCTGTGAAATGAAGGTTCTGTCAAAGGAAGTACCCACCAAAGTAACTGTTTTGTGAATAGGCTCCTTTCCATGGTGTCCATTCCTCAAAATTCCAAATGTGTCCACTGGCCCAAATCTATCTATAGATAGAGTTTCTGCTCAGGTTTTGTGATTCATATTTGTTCCCATCTTTCTACTGCACATTGTAGCGGACAGCCTTGGATGGAATTATGGATTTAGTTGGTGTGGAGGTTGCTTTTATATGCTATTTATATAATTATATTAATTTACAACTGACTGCATAACTAGAAGCTAAATTTAGAAATGCAGTTTTATTGTGATTTGGGTTGGCACATCACACCTAATCAAAAGGTTACTGTGTAATTAAATCTCACTACACAAGTAAATGCTTTCAAATACTTAATGTATATTTATTGTCTGTATCAGTTTTTAGGGTTTGCTTACACAGTGGAAAAAGAGCACTATGAACTTTACATCTTGGCAGGACCATTGAAAGAAAAGGAAGGGAAAACATCTATTGGAATGACTGCTAAGCTTCCTAGCATAGACCAAACTAGCGTAGTCATTTGTGTTGAAAAGACACAGGTGGCGTTGTGGTCTAAACCACTGAACCTCTTGGGCTTGCAGATTGGAAGGTTGGGAGTATGATTTCCCACAATGGAGTGAGCTCCCGTTGTTCTGTCCCAGCTCCTGCCAACCTAGCAGTTTGAAAGCATGCCAGTGCAAGTAGATAAATCGGTACCACTGCAGCGGGAAGGTAAACAGCGTTTCTGTGCACTCTGGCTTCTGTCACAGTGTTCTGTTGTGCCAGAAGTGGTTTAGTCATGCTGACCACATGACCCGGAAAGCTGTCTGTGGACAAATGCCGGCTCCCTCAGCCTGAAAGCAAGATGAGCACCGTACCCCATAGTCACCTTTGGCTGGACATAACCATCCAGGGGTCCTTTACCTTTACCTTTTTACCTAGTCATTTGTGTAATAAGGCTAAAAGACATGGGCTTTCTCCTGGTTCATTAAGATTCCTTTGCAAAAACACCCCTATGTGAAGCTTCTGCATTTCTTGACTGTATTCTCTATTTCTGTCTCTCTCTCTTTCTCTCCCTCCCTGTCCTGCCCCATTTTTCTAGGACTTACTGCTGCAGCATCCCTTGTGTCTTTGGCATGGGCTTTGGCTTCCTATCAAAAAGCACTTCGTGATTCCCGTGATGACAAGAAGCCAATCAGTTATATGGCTGTGATAATCCAGTTCTGCTGGCATTTCTTCACAATTGCAGCCCGGGTGATTACTTTTGCTCTCTTTGCCTCTGTTTTCCAACTGTATTTTGGGATCTTCATCGTCCTCCACTGGTGCATCATGACCTTCTGGATTGTCCATTGCGAAACGGAGTTCTGCATCACTAAGTGGGAAGAGATTGTCTTTGATATGGTCGTTGGGATCATTTATATCTTTAGTTGGTTCAACGTCAAGGAGGGAAGGACACGCTGTAGGCTTTTCATTTACTATTTTGTGATCCTTTTGGAAAACACTGCCTTGAGTGCTCTTTGGTACCTATACAAGGCTCCTATGATTTCTGATGCGTTTGCCATACCGGCACTATGTGTGGTGTTCAGCAGCTTTTTAACCGGCATTGTTTTTATGCTGATGTACTATGCCTTCTTTCATCCCAATGGACCAAGGTTTGGGCAGTCACCAAGCTGTGCTTGTGAGGACTCTGTAGCTGCCTTTACTCTTCCTCCAGAAGTAGCATCAAGTACTTTAAGGTCTATTTCTAATAACAGGAGTGTCACAAGTGACCGGGATCAGAAATTTGCAGAGAGAGATGGGTGTGTGCCTGTTTTTCAGGTGAGACCTACTGCACCTTCTACTCCTTCATCCCGGCCACCAAGGATTGAAGAATCTGTCATTAAAATTGATCTCTTCAGGAATAGGTATCCAGCATGGGAGAGACATGTATTGGACAGGAGCCTGAGAAAGGCCATTTTAGCTTTTGAATGTTCGCCTGCTCCTCCACGGCTACAATATAAAGATGATGCCCTTATACAGGAGCGGTTGGAATATGAAACAACATTATAAATACAATTTTTAAAGAGAGCTCAATGCAGCGGCTATGATACATCCAAAATAAAAGGGTGGCAATAGGGCCGTGGCAATAACTTAACTGCATTCTACAGCAGAGCAGCAAGATGTAATAGTATCTGGCTACCATCATGTTTATCATTTGATCCGCTGTCCCACAGTCTGTCGGTAGTACACCTATAAAGCAGCAGCATCCAAGAGCCTCAAAGAATCTGACTGAGAAATAGACCTAGTCCAGTTACTTCCTATTTCTTTCAAAGTGCACTGCACAGTATTTAAAAGTAAAACAGGAAGGTTTGAATGAGTTGCATCAACATACTAGTTAATGCATTTTTATTTTATTTTAGAGAAACTTCAACTCTTGGTGTTTGCATAGTCATTTACAAAATGAAGAAACAGTTGGGGGGATGTCAAAATAACTTATTTTGTAAAAGGCAATGTTACTGTTAAGTGAACTCTAGTTTCTATAAAAGAAATTATAAAAAAATATTATTCTCTGGTTTTGAATAGGTAAATCATAAAACATTTGCAAAAGAATTACAATTTGAAAAAGACATTAAGGATTTTTTCTGAGTCTAGAACTAAATTAAATTCTAACTGAGCAAAATACATGTGTTGTAATCTAAGGAGCTCTTCATTTTTATATATTTATTTGCTTTCTTTTATTCTATTTAACAGAAATATTATACATACAATTTCAGGGGTTTGGCATTTTTGAAACAGAAATTCTATGCAGATGGCTCCCCAGCTTTCAGCTAGTCTTTAGCAATGTTAATTAAATGATAATCATGATTAAATTTTCAATTAGAAAAAAAGAGTGAGAAAGAGAAATGGCATGAAAACAAGAAGGTATATTTCCTGTAATTGAACTTTTGGCGATCATATTCAGGACAATATTAAGAGATGAACAGACTTTTAACTTACATTTTTTTCAGGATCTGGGATGCATAGCTCTGTGTGTGCAGAAGATGTGATAAGAAACCACAATGTCATACCCTTCTAGTGCCAAACATTGCTGTAACTGCAAAATTGATATTGTTGTTTGAGGGACAGAAAATGGGTGGCACAAGTACTTAAGCAAGAAGCTGGGAAGAGCAATCATACTTTCCACATTTGCAGACATCACTATTTGGTGAAAATTGGCTACTTGTCTGTAAGTATCTAAAGTAAACATACATTAAACCAGGCTGTGTGCATCATGTTCTTGAATTGGCCAAAACCTGTTTCTCTGTGTTTGGAGACCCTTCAGTTCCTCCCTGCATGCGCCTTGGGGTCTTACACGGCCCGCACCCGATTCCAGGGGTTTGGACAAGGGGATGGTAAGCCCCAGAATTCCTTTAACGGAATTCCCATGCAGCAGCAGCATTGGAGGGGTAGGCACAGCCAATCCATACCCCTCCACCAACCAATTTAACCAATGCCTAACCGCCAACCTTACAAGTTGTGACGATTTGCTACGTAGTAGGCAAAACCCAAAAGGCACACACTAATCAGCCAATTGGAAAAATTCCTACTAGGCCCCCGCACCAAGGCGGACGACCCCATGACAGGCAATAGCAAGGTCAAGCAGAAGCCCCTTCAAGGGAGGGCGGGCGGGTGATCCGGTGTCCACAGCGAAAGAGAAAGGAACAGGCTGTGGACCCAGTATAAATAACCTTTGACTCCACCCCTTAATTGGCAACATCACTTTTTCCCCAGCAACAACAATCACCATTCAATTCAATTCCCTTGCCACAGCCTGGCTGCAACTGAGGATGATTTGCCAGGCCCCATCCGCAACACGTGCTCTCTCTTTAATGAGAACACGCTTTATGAGAATGAGCTTCAGAAAATCTCAGGCTCATGGGCTCCACTCATCCCTCTCCTACTCCCACACAGCTGCAAATAGATCAGAAACTTCCACTTCCGTCTTAGACTGACCATAGCTTACCATGTCATCTGAATGCTAAACTGTTGTCAGTGATTATGATCAGTTGAAACCTATGGTTTGAAGTTGGCTGGTTTCAACTAACCATAGTTAAGATTAAGATGCTGTTGAACTCAGATAAGTTTCTGAACATTTTGTCATTGCTATGTTGAAGAAGTATGGACAAGGGAAAGTTTTTTTTAAAAAAACTTGATCATTCTCATATTAGCATTACATCCAAACTATCTATTAAAAGTCACTTGTGCAAGAGTGCTTTTGCTTACAGGCATTCAGGTATGAAATACTTCCCTTGGCCAAGCTAATTGTATCTTTCCTTATGTTAAAAGTATCCCTTGATGGTGCTTTCAGTTGCATTACAGATGCAAGTCAAAATTTGATAGTATTTTTTAAAAAAACAAAACGAGGTGCAAATTGGAATAACTCATGTATTATGCCAATATTTTTCTAAAGCAAAACACAGTACACAAGGTTGTTACTTTTTATAGACTTTGAATTTTTTCTCACATAACTCGTTCTTTTTAATAGCTTCAAGTTTTAAAAATAGTCCACAAATTATATCAGCTGGCCCTTTGTACATGTACTCTTGATGCCATATTAATTTGTTTTGCAACATAATAGCATATGAAAGCCTCTATGGGTACTTTTAGAATATTCTGAAAATACTGAAGCCTTCAAATGAGTGTTTCAAGTACAGTGCAATGTGTATATTGGATATAATGACAAAAACTTATTTTCCCCTGAATCTTTGAGAGAAGTATAAAAAGCTTCAGAAATAAATTACAAAGTTATGGTATGATGATCAGACTAGGAACATGAAGGAGTGTTGTTTGAATAGTATGAGATCTCGCAGAAAATATGGTAAGATCACAGTTTTCATGCTTTTAATTCAGTACATCTTCTAGCTATAAGCAAGTCATTATCTCACTATGCATCTGCAATAGGTCAGAACAAATGGTTACCACAACACAGAAATAATCACCCATGATGGCTTTATCATGTGCAGATCCACACTATACATTTAAAAGCATATTCAATTCACATTTAAAGCACCCCAAATGAATCATGTGGCCCATAATTTTCGCCCATTTTCAGCACAATTAGCAAACCACAGTTTCTTGGTTTTTTTGTGGGAAGTCCTTTGTGTTGAGTATGCTTTAAATAAACAATGTGGACAGTGCAGATGTTTCTCTCAATCCACCCCAATAATTACCAATTTCAGGTGTGTACTTGCAATGGAATATAAACAACCATAGTAAGAAAAATGGAATATAAAGAACTAAAATAATCAAATATTGGGCATATGGCAGAGACTGTTGAACAAATGACTTGAAGGTAGCCAACTTGTTTCCAGAGAAACAATCCAGTGTAGATGTAAATCCCATTCAGAAGAGTAGGACACAACTGGAAATTTCCATTTGAGCATCACTGATCTCAATCCAGCCCAAATTAAACCAAGTCCTCATATGTGAACTGGTCTGAGTCTGACCAGCTGTGTCAGCAATGAGGTTCTTAAGATATGGCCTGTTGTATCCACACCAGCTGTATGTCACTAGATTTGACTTGGTGTTGGAGAAGATATACTACCTTACATTCTGAATAAATTTGTCACAGAACAGAAGAGATTGTAGTCTGGTATGTTAATCTTCAGCATCATGGAAATTAAAGATAGGCCTAGTTCTCACACATGTGTTAAACCTGTGTTTGAGCTGTACTACACAGCATTTCTCAACTTTGGGTCACCAGCTTGGACTACAATTCCCATCATCCCTAGCTAGCAGTAATCAAGTGATTATGGGAGTTGTGGTCCAACAACAGCTGGAGACTCACATTTAAGAAATGCAGATGGAGGATCGCACGACTTAGTGCTCCTTCATACAAAAAGGTCATATACAAAAATAGATGCCAGAAACGCATTCTAGCAAAAATGGTACAGCCCCAGATACAAGATTAACTATCTCAGAAGAATTAGGCATCATGTCTCTGCTGTGCATTCTGGCGGTGCATAAATTTAGTCTTCTCTGTTAAAATATTATGGTGAGGGGCGTATATTTTTTAATCTGCAGGTATATGAAAAGCATGTTTCTGTTGGTTGGAAATTCAAGGTGTTTTGTTTTACCAAGACCTAAAAATAAAGTATCAGTGGTAATAATAGTGGTAATTATGAATGAGTAGTAAATATTTTTAGCATTTACAAATTAGCCCATGATTCCAGTTTCTGAGGTGCCAGTATAAACAAAGCAGCCATATGTAGGTGATGTTGAAATTTCATATTCGGCACATGAGATCTTACAGGGAAAGTTCTACCTACTTTCCAAATCAGGTTCAACAGGTCCCTATTCCTTTTTTGCAGATTTTGTTTTATCCAGCTCACACCCAGCTAAGCTGAAGACATTAAATCTGCAGCTGTTTAATTTTAAGTTGGATAGAGTGGGAGCAACACACTGTGACATGTTGCACTAGGAAAACTGATCAAGTTAGAAATATATCATTTGATAATTATTCCAATGTAAGCCAGTAGTGCCCTACCAAGGAAGAGCATTCATACAACTAATTGCTTCCTTAGCCTCTAGTAAGCAAAGGGATGCAGAGAACGTGGCAGGTGCATTCCTGTCTGGGAGGAGGGTGGCTATGACTACACATGTTTACATACATCTCTCTCATACACATTTTTGTATTACTTAATTGTAGTATCTGCACAACACATAAAGCCTATTGAAATTGTTCCTCCTAGCTATCACTTGATTTGGCATTCCCCATGTGTGTCAATCAGCTAGTGGCCTGGCACAGCATCAAAGCAGACACACTGTAACTTTCTTTCACTCTGAAACAGGATTCTCTTGCTCTAGATACATCTTGTAGTAAGCAGTGTAGGGCTTTATATCCAATTAGTGCCCTTGCATGTGATCCATTGGGAAGTATCTGCTAAAGAAGAGGGAGGGTTTTTTGTGTGTGTGTGAGTGCCCCTTCCCCATCTCTAATCAGAGCTGCTGACATTGTGGTAACCAATTTTAGGAGATGAGAGGCAACGAGCAAATGAAAGTGGGTGATTTCCAGCACTTGTCCATTGATTTCAGTGTGTCTGCTCAGAGGAGTTTTTGCTCCTTGACTCTTGTCTTCTGGAATTTGTTCACATGTCAAGAATCTGGCTGTAATATAATGGTGGAAGTCTGCTGTTGCGTCCTTTGCACGTCAGGAAACAGGAAAAAAATTGTATACATCCTAAGGAAAGTGGTTCTTCCAAACCCACTGTGTCTGTTAAAGCTAAGCAACTTCAGAGAATACATTATTTTCTATATAATGGTAAGTTGTTCATAAATCAACAAGCCTACACTTTTACATGTTGGCACAGTATAACAGAATTGAGAAATGTGTTGAACTCCTTAATTATTTTTAATTGCTTACTCTTTCACAGGAAGCTTAAGTAGAAATCAAGCATTTGATTTGAATAGCATAATTAGGTAATTTTTTTTTTTTTTGCATTCTCACATTTTTGGCAAAGTCATGTATTTTTATTGTTCTTTGTTAACTTTTTTCCTTTTTCACTGTGTATGAGAGAGATTTTGAAAACCTCACCTGAAAATTTATTCAGAGATCACATTATTTATTTGCATATTTCTTCAGTATTCATTGTCTATTTCTGTAGAGCTTTCTGGAGTTCCTTTCTGGAGTGAAGCAACCCATTTCAAAAAGCAACTTGTGAACTACTGCCAAAATAAATTAGCCATGCAACCAAAACCACAGTTTGATGTATAACTGATGGAGTTGCCCAGCAAATTTATATTCTCAAAAACAGTTCTAACTCCCTAGAATAGCAGCACTGTTCTTTGGGATGGTCTGTGGGTGACAAATGGTGCCTGTGTGACAGACTGAAAAGGTTTTGTGAAGAAACTGCATTTCTCCTCTCACTGAGCTTCAAGTCAATCACAGTTCTTTTAAACTGAGGGTTTTCAGTAACATGTTTTACCTTACTATAAAGCAGTAAACATAGAGTTGAATAATATTTTTAAGTAAGCTTACCCATCCATGTTGCTGAAAATGTCAAAAAGTATACAGATTCTGTTGGCATTGAGATTTTCTATTTTGTTTTGATAGAAAATGAGAATGGAAAGGAAAAGTAGCTTTAAAGGCAGTTTATTGTTTGTTAATATTGGTCACGCATTAGCAATAATATAGTGATGTGATATCACCAAAAGATATTTACTGTTGGCAAAGGTATTGTGTTATTGTGTATTTATAAATTTATAGAACTATATAAAAAGTATAGGGTGCAGTTGAGAAAGGATTCAGAGTGATCTTTCTTGAAGGT